CTGATGCAGGTCTTGATGACTTACCAGTCGCCAATAAAGCTAGCTCGCCGTGTGTGATCAAGTTCTCAGCTTGTTGGCAAATTTTTCGTGCTTGACTGGTCCCTGTAGTAAACTTGGGCAATTTTGAGGGTGGTAGGCGGCGACAGGATGACTGAGCAGTGATGTAAGAAGCAGCAACTGCAGGCGATTTTGTTTGACTCAAAGTAAGCTCGAGCCTTTGGCTGTTGAATTCACGAATCTTGTCAAGTATCAGGGATGGATAGGTAAACTTTGGATTGGCCAAGCGTTCTTTGGTGTACAGATCCGTGGCCGATTTTGAAGCGACATTAAGCTTGTCAAACTGTTCATAGGCTTTCTCCTCCCAGGTCAAATGAGTGTTGGCCTTGACACGGTTTGACCAATAGTTCTCTACGCGCTCATTGATCCAGGCATCAAGGTCAGGTGAAATCAGATTGTCCAAGACCAAGTCTGCTTCAGTGGTGTGATGAGTTTCTACCAAAGTTTGATCTTTGATTGCTGACACAATTTGGGAATCGAGCTCTTCAGAATCACAGCCAGTCAGGCTTTCATCTGAACCAGTTTGATAAGTCAAAGCTGTAACATCATTCAATTCAAGATTTTGTGTTTGTACTGCCGGAAGAGGTCTTGGAATAACAGAAGCCCAATTAGATATTGTATTAATGTTGCCTCTGAGTGCTTTCTTTTGTTTTAAAAGACGGTTATGCTTCGTTTGCTTAGGAACTGGTGCTGGGAGAAGTTTTTGGCGTTTTGAACTCGGGTTTTCAATCGGTTTCCGATAACCCTTTGTGATTTGGCCGCTAGAATTCTTGTGCTTATAATTTTGAATGGCGGGATATGCAACTTTCGAGGTGAATATTGGCCATGGTCTTGAAACTACTGTCATGTCACATTCTTCCTCATCATCCAAGTCTAGAATGTTTTCAACTACTTGTCTGATGATTTCGTTTGATTGTTGCAATTCATCTTGTTCAGTTTCAATGAAGGTATTGGCCAGATTGATATCTTTGTCCGCAGCTTCTGTTAGCTCTATGAATTGACTGATTGACTTGTCAGAGATTTGTTTGTGGTTGCTGGTAGGTGATGCTAGATCATTCAAAGAGTTTGGTGCCTGATGCTGCTTTCCTGTTCTCTTTTTCTACGTTCACGTTGGCTTTTTTTTCTCAGTGAGACCACCATTTTCAAGAAAATGAGCAAGATTTTGCAGGAAATAGAAGAATTTTTTGTGCAAAGTGAAAAAAAAA